GGACTTGATATCCCGCTTTATCACTACCCTAAGGAGTCTCAAGGCGGCTAACAATCTCCTTTCCCTTCTTCCCCGACAACAAACACTCTGTGAGGTGAGTGGGGCTGAGAGACTTCAGAGAAGTGTGACTGGCCCAAGGTTACCCAGCAGTTGCATGTGGAGGAGCGGGAAGCGAACCCGGTTCACCAGATTACGAGTCCACCGCTCTTAACCACTGCACCACGCTAGCTCAGGAGTTTGTCAAACCCTCTTGTTATAAGAATTCTAAGGTCTCAAATCTAAACTGAATGTTCATAAATGTACAAGGCAAACACATACATAAGTATACAGTGGTACCTCAGGTTAAGAACTTAGGCATAGGCCAGTTCTGTGAAGCTTGGAGGGGGGTGTGAGGCATCTGGGCTTTAGCAGTAAAGTGGTACCTCGGGTTAAGAACTTAATGCGTTCTGGAGGTCCGTTCTTAACCTGAAACTGTTCTTAACCTGAAGCACCACTTTAGCTAATGGGGCCTCCCGCTGCCACCGCACGATTTCTGTTTTCATCCTGAAGCAAAGTTCTTAACCCAAGGTACTATTTCTGGGCTAGTGGAGTCTGTAACCTGAAGTGTCTGTAACCTGAAGCGTCTGTAACCCGAAGTACCGCTGTATAAGCCACGTGTCCAAAATAGTACGGGAAAGCAATCCTGAAGCCATTTTGACTCTCCCAAATTGACCTCAAATATTTCTCTGCAAAGAGGAAGGAAATGGGAAAGCCTCCCCGTTGTCTTTTTGCTTGCAAATCCTGTCTTAAGGGCGTATTTGTGTATGAATAGGGTGAGCCTGTGACCCGGACTCAGGAACTAAAGTATTAACCATCACAAAAGAATGGCCAGGCTGCCCAGGTAATGCAGTCAATGACCATTATCAGGTATCCTGGCAGGCAGGATTTCTGCTGCAGACCACCTCCTTCAGTGATGTATGTATGATGTATTGTGGGGTGGTCTTGGGCTACAGGGTGGGCAGTTTCAAAAGACTATATAAGAGCTTGCACACCAATTGTTATGTACTGAGTTGAATAGGATCCAAAATGCAGCGGTCTGATTGGTCCCAAAACAATAGGATTCAGAATGCAGCAGTCTGATTGGCCCTAGAACAATAGGATTCAGAATGCAGCAGTCTGATTGGTCCACAGGAGCCACCCAATCCAGCTCCAGGTGGAAGTGAATCCGCAACCTGATTGGCCTACAGGAGAATCCCAGAATTAGCCAATCATGTGGGACCCTTTGTGTAAATAATGTATATAAAGTAGACATTCTGGGGGAACTTCCATTCTTCCTCACCACTATGAGCTGAATAAAGAGCATGAAATCCTCTCTCGACTCTGAGTATATTTCCCCAATGTTCTGGGTTCCTCTGAGTGGGGGACTCTGTTGCAACAGTTTAATAAAGATCAGGCTTACAATAATAATAATAATAATAATAATAATAATAATAATAATAATAATAATTTATTTGTACCCCGCCCATCTGGCTGGGTTTCCCCAGCCACTCTGGGTGGCTTCCACAAAGACAAAAAATATACTAATATGTCATACATTAAACACTTCTCTGAACAGGGCTGCCTTAAGATGTCTTCTGAACGTCAGGTAGTTGTTTATCTCTTTGACATCTGATGGGAGGGCGTTCCACAGGGTGGGCACCACTACCGAGAAGGCCCTCTGCCTGGTTCCCTGTAGCTTTGCTTCTCGCAATGAGGGAACTGCCAGAAGGTCCTCAGCGCTGGACCTCAGCGTCCGGGCAGAACGATGGGGGTGGAGACGCTCCTTCAGATATACAGGACCGAGGCCGTTTAGGGCTTTCAAGGTCAACACCAACACTTTGAATTGTGCTCGGAAATGTACTAGGAGCCACTGTAGGTCTTTCAAGACCGGTGATATGTGGTCTCGGCGGCCGCCCCCAGTCACCAGCCTAGCCTCTTTGCTTCTCAATATTCTCTGGTTGGCCTCTGCTATTTTCTCCTACCGATAGGGGACCCATTTAAGGAGTCTATACGGGCTCTGGAATACCCCATAAGGGAAAAGGAGCAGTTCTTTTCTTATAACCCTCTTTTACAGCCATCCAAATTGGTGGGCATCACTGCCTCCTCGGGGAGCAAGTTTCCTAGTTTAACTATGCGCTACATGAAGAATTCATTTCTTTCATCTCAATCTTCCAACATTCAGTTTCACGGGGTATTCATGAGTTCTAGGGTTATGAGAGAAGGAAGGGATAATAATCCTCCAGCCACTTTTTCCATGTCATGAGTAATTTTACTTTTTTTTAAAAAAATACATTTTTATTAATTTTAACATACCAATTATAAACAGTACCACACAAATTGTTACAAATACATTCTTATTGGACTTCCCTGAGCACCTCTGTTAACCACTTTTTATGCATTACTTAATTTTATGTTGTCTTTACCTCTCATAACATATCATCTCCCCTTCTCCATTTTTACAATATTTCCAACAATACTCCTCACAGAACGTCTTGTAAACCTACAAACGTTGCCTGATCATCACAAATACTTTTCATATAGTTCATAAATTTACTCAAGTCTTTGGCAAATTTCTGGTCCCGCCGGTTTCGGATCCTTCCTGTTAATTTGTCTAATTCTGCATAGTCCATTAACTTCATCCTCCATTCTTCAATCGTTGGCAATTCTTCTTGCTTCCATTTTTGGGCCAAAAATATTCTAGCTGCTGTTACTGCATATAAAAAAAGCTTACATTCTTTTCTATTTATATCGCTTCCCACCATTCCCAATAGAAATGCTTGTGGTTTCTTTGTAAATGTATATTTCAACATTTTTTTTCAACTCATTATATATCATCTCCCAGAAGCATGTCATCTTTTTGCATTCCCACCACATGTGATAGAATGTTCCCTCTTTTTCTTTACATTTCCAACATTTATTGCTAGTTTTATACATTTTCGCTAACTTAACAGGGGTAATATACCATCTATACATCATTTTAATCACATTTTCTTTTAATGCATTACACGCAGTAAACGTCATGAGTAATTTTACAAACTTCTGTCATGTCACCACTTACTTGCCTTAAACTAAAATAATCCCAGCTGCTGAGCGGTAAGTGATCACTATCAACCCTCTCCTCCACTTTGCACTCAAGGGCTCTATTTAGGAGATTAAATGATACCATAACATAGTCGATAGTGGAAGCTCCTGCATTTGATATAAAAGTAAATTCCCCACAAGTCTCCCCATTCTTGCGCCCATTTAGTATGACCAGGTCGTAGGAAGCAAGTGGTATCCCATAATGACCAAACCCCCAAATGTTAATTACAGGGGCCACGCTAATAATTAATTTTATTTTTTTATATTTAAATCCTTGTTATATTCATATTGTCCTCTGTATTTCTGATTTTTTTTATGATCTGTGATATTGTGTGTGTTGATGCTGGTCTGTGACCATATTAATAAATTCATTCATTCATCCCAGCTGCTGCAACTTTCTCCCTGGAAAAAGCCTACATGTTGGTCATGTTTGTCGTTGTCCAGCCTCACCTACCACCTGTATACGCCCGCCCCCCTGAATGCTGCCCATGTAGGACTGTGGCCCTCAGGCCAAAATAAGTTGATTGGCCTTGTTAATCTTTATTCAATTTTAAAACACGCAAAAAAGGACTATATGGAACTGGCGGAAATGACTGGCAGAATCCGAGACCAGGGAGAAGAGTCGGTGGAAGAAGATTGGAAGAAATTCAAAGATTATCTACAGAAATATTGTAAAATTAATGAATGTTAGAATGATGTTCGATAAAAACTAAGTGGTTCTTAGCTGAAATGTTATAAGGGAAGATGAAAAAAGGGTTTACTATGTAATATGTAAAAATCTGAAAGTACAATATCTTTATGATTAATGATTAGGATATTTAAAAGAGGGGAGGGAACTGCTGAACAAAATATGCGAACTGGAATACAAAAAAGGGAGGTGTGAGGAGGTCGAGGAAACAAGTAAATGAAGGATAAGATATAGAAAGACTAATCTGTTTAACTGCTTTTATTTTGTATTTTGTATTTTTCCATTTTTATATCTTTTTTCTTTTTTTATCTGCTTTCCTTTTTCTTTTTTCGCTCATTTTTGTAATATGTTGAAATTTTAATAAATATCTTTTTAAAAAAAACACGCAAAAAAGAAAACAGAATGTGTTACATCAGTCAAAACAATATTGCGCACGTCAAAGAAGCAAACGGACACAAGACTGGCAGCTGATAAGGAAGGAAGGAAGGAAGGAAGGAAGGAAGGAAGGAAGGAAGGAAGGAAGGAAGGAGTAAATAAAAAAAGGGGAGCATTTGTTTTTATAAAACAACAACCAATAAATCAGGCATGTTCAAAGTCCATTTCGGGGGGCCTAATCTGACCCACCAGCTGGTTTAATCTGGCCCGTGTGACAGTTTATTTCCTGGGGTAAAATCCCCAAAAAACCAACTTCAATCCTACGAAAAGCTCAATAACTTTGGTTGGCCCTTTGGTCGGCCGTCACGGCCCTTCGCTTCATCAAATCTGGCCCTCTTTGAAAAAAGTTTGGACACCACTGCAATAAATCAATACCCCATACCATATCCAAAACAAATCAATTGGGCAGGTAAGCTTGCTATTCATTTCTTTCAGAACAGATGAGTTTTTAAAAAAAATGCAAAAATTATACGTAAACATTCAAACTTCTATTGCTATTTGTGTGAAAGTTGGTGAAGTTGCCTTTCCTATTATAACCTTGTGGGATCCTTTGCCTGTTGGTCAGTTCTTTTAACAATGCATCTCCTTCTATAAAGGCTTTCCATAGTTAGAAAGGCAGAATGGCCAACCTGTCAGGGGTGTTGTTACAGTGGGCATCCTGTATTGTCTCGGGAGGCAGACTAGATGAGCTTTGGAGTACCTTCTGGACAATCACAGAATCATCAAGTTGGAAGGGGGTTATCTAGTCCAACCCCCTTGCAATGCAGGAATATGCCTCTGTCCCTTACGGGATTCGAACCAGCAACCTTGGCATTCTCATCACTGTGCTCTAACCAACTGAGCTATCCAGTTGCATCTAATGCAATGGGTTGCATCCAAAGTCATAACTCAGAGCTGGACCAATGAAATGAATTGAGGGGATGAGCAAGTTAGCTCCATTCACTTCAATAGATTTACTCTGAGAACTTTGTTGGACGGCACCCTATGGCAAGGGTTCCCAAAGTGAGTGGAACCCAAACTGGGGGGCAATGGGATTAACTGGTGAGTTGCCATGAGGCAAGGGGGCAGCCAGGGGGTACTGGAGGTGTCAATGACATTAGACTTTGAAATCAAGTTTGGATCAAGTTGATCTATTTTCTTGAATTCATGGAGCCAAATACAGCGGTACCTCAGGTTAAGTACTTAATTCGTTCCGGAGGTCTGTTCTTAACCTGAAACTGTTCTTAACCTGAAGCACCACTTTAGCTAATAGGGCCTCCTGCTGCTGCCATGCCGCCAGAGCACGATTTCTGTTCTCATCCTGAAGCAAAGTTCTTAATCCAAGGTACTATTTCTGGGTTAGCAGAGTCTGTAACCTGAAGCATATGTAACCTGAAGTGTATGTAACCCGAGGTACCACTGTAGTTTTAATTGGACTTTGAATAAATGTGCAATTAACTGTTACTGTTTTGAGCATGGGTAGGCAAACTAAGGCCTGGGGGCCGGATCCGGCCCATTCGCCTTCTCAATCCGGCTCGCGGACGGTCCGGGAATCAGCGTGTTTTTACATGAGTAGAATGTGTCCTTTTATTTAAAATGCATCTCTGGGTTATTTGTGGGTCATAGGAATTCATTCATTTATTTTTTCATAATATAGTCCAGCCCCCCATGAGGTCTGAGGGACAGTGGACCGGCCCCCTGCTGAAAAAGTTTACTGACCCCTAGTTTTGAGTCTTATTGTGCTATTATCTTCCTAGCGGATCTCACAAACCACTATTCTGAATAATGATCTTTGTAGGGCAGGGTAAGGGGTGCTGGGCATCAGAGGACATGGGCTCCCCAAAAAAAGTCTGGGAACCACCACCCTAAGGGTTTTTCGGAGGCATTTGGGTGCGTTACATCCAAGACCATGGCGTAAAAATTCCATTTTGAGCTGATCTACCAATGGGGTTTCCTCCCTGCCCCCTCACAATAGTCTAAAAACTTTCTTGCTGCCTTTCAGAGTTCCTCAGATCTTCTTTCTGTAGTCTTCAAATGTTCCCATTTCAGTTGGAATTGGGTGGCAAAAACTCTCTGTCTCTCTCTCTCACACACACACAAAACTCCAGGCAATGAAAAAAATCAGCATCCATGCTTATTAAATCTCCCATCTGGTATCTCCTTTATGAGGGGATGGTGTTTTCATGTTTCCAGCAGTGGGGAAATCTGTTCCGAGCACAGAGAAACAGAACATTTTGTGTGAGATCAGGGTTGTACTAGGTTTAGCAGTAATAGGAAATTCAGACTTACTTTCTTTTTTTTAAGGCGAAGGGGGGTGGGGAGAGATCCTTATGTAATAGTAGCCAGGTGTATTTTTTATATGATTTCCTTTAAAAATGATTCTCTTTTATTCAAGAGGGGAGCACTAGCAAGCCAGTCTGGTACAGAGGGATTCTGCATGACATTTCAGAGATTTAAAAATCAGGTCCAGTGTTCTGAACTCAGAGACGCTTACAAATGATTTATTATTCCCCTTTCCCCCCGGATCTATACGTGTGCGCTCTCTCTCTCACACACACACAAAATCACAGTAAGAATTTAAAGCGAAGGGTCTGCAAAATATTCATATTCAGTTGAGAAATATTTGCAAATGAATCCCTTTTCAGATTTATAAGCACACAAAACCCCTCGAGCAAATGCTGATAATTGCCGTATTTTTTGCTCTATAAGACTCACTTTTTCCCTCCTAAAAAGTAAGGGGAAATGTGTGTGCGTCTTATGGAGCGAATGCAGGCTGCGCAGCTATCCCAGAAGCCAGAACAGCAAGAGGGATTGCTGCTTTCACTGCGCAGCGATCCCTCTTCTTGTTCTGGCTTCTGAGATTCAGAATATATTTTTTCTTGTTTTCCTCCTCCAAAAACTAGGTGTGTCTTGTGGTCTGGTGCGTCTTATAGAGCGAAAAATACGGTACACAATAAAATAAAATACAAAATGTTGGTTAACTGGAAGGGAAAGGGAGGAAAGGGTGAACTCAAATCCTATTCACCGCAGACCCACTGAAAAGAATGGGTCCAAGTTTGTCCATTTCAGTGGGTCCTGAGGGTTAATTCAGTCTACTGAATAAGACTCTTAATCTCTCTTTTTTATAATAATTTTTATTAAGTTTTCCATATTTATCATAATCACATCTTGTTACATACAATAATAACCTTAAACATTGCTCAACTGAGCACCGACCTCCTTCCCTCCCTCTTTCTGACTTCCAAACATCTTTACTAAATTCTTAGCATCTCTATAACCCCCTTTTTACTTTCTATCTTCCTTTAACATTTCACCTCATTATATGTAAATCAGCTCCTTATATTCACATTACAAAACAGTTCAACTCAAACCTACAAGCGTTTTCAAACGTTTGCAATTTTATTTCATATAAAATATAAATGTGTCACGCCAATTCCTGATCTTCCCCGTCAGCTTGGCCAACTCTACATATTCCACCATCTTTATCTGCCATTCTTCCAATGTTGGAAGTTCCTGCTGTTTCCATAAGACTCTTAATCTCAGGGTTGTGGGTGAAACATTGCAGGGGGCTGGACTAGATAACTCTTGTGGTCCCTCTAAAATTCCACGTCTCTACTCAGAGTAGGACTCACATTCAACGCAACCCCTCAAAAAGAGGGAGATACCACTTCAGGCTGCATAAACAGGAAGGGCATGATTTTTTTTGCTCATAAAGGGTTATCATACGACAACTGAACATATAGCTCAAGTTCAGAAGCAGAGGGATGGCTTTGGAATGGTCATAAGCCTTGCCTGAATGCAGAAAGTCCCAAATTTGATCCCCATCATCTCCAACCCTGTCATGCCCACTGCCTTCTCTGCATCAGATTGCCCTCTCCCTGCAGGAGCAGCTCCCCAGTTTGGGAGTGTTTCTATATCCAGTCCCTGACAGCTCTGGTGGCCTCCGTGGCTGGAAGTCAACTGCAACTGGCTCAGCAGCTATAGCCGTTCCTGGACCGAGAGAGCCTTGCCCAAGTCATTCATGTGTTGATTCCTGCATTGCAGAGGGTTTGACTTGATGATTCTATGACCCATCTACACAGCTGCAGATAAAACGTTTTAAAAGTGTTGTAAAGTGCAAAATACAAATGTGTCACTAGATGGCGACAGAAAGCCTTCTTCTTTCTTTGGCGATCATTGTCTTCCATGAACATGGTCTTAACAGTGAGTCCATAAGTGATTGTGGAGGCCAATTCTGGATCCACACGTCCTTCCACAGTGGGGACATAGGTTTCCGGGTGGGAGTTGATCCTGGTGAGGGTTTGCCAAGCTTGCCTCCCTCTTAGCTGCATTATGCAGCTGGCCTATATATTGAACCTTCTTCTTCTTCTTCTTCTTCGGCGATCCCTCGCAGCTGAGTAAGATTGTCTTCCATAAACACGGTTTTAACAATGAGTCCGTAGGTGACTGTGGAGGCCAATTCTGGATCCACACGTCCTTCCACAGTTGGGGACATTGGTTTCTGGGCGGGAGTTGATCATGGTGTGGATTTGCCAAGCGTGCCTTCCTCTTAGCATGTTTCTCCCTTGCGTCCCGAGTTCGAGTGTCTTCAAAGCCCAGGATGCCTTTGGTAAATGCTGTTCTCCAACTGGAGCGCTCACAGGCCAGTGTTTCCCAGTTGTCGGTGTTCATAGTACATTTTTAAAGATTTCCCTTGAGAGGGTCTTTAAACCTCTTTTGTTGACCACCAGCATCACGCTTTCCATTTTTAAGTTCGGAATAGAGTAGTTGCTTTGGAAGACAATAATCAGTGGCATCCGAACAACATGACCAGTCCAACGAAGCTGATGTTGAAGAATCATTGCTTCCATACTGGTCCAAGCAATGACTGGTTCTGCGACAGGAAGTATTGCCCTTGAGCAGGCATCCCCAAACTCGGCTCTCCAGATGTTTTGGGACTACAACTCCCATCATCCCTAGCTAACAGGACCAGTGGTCAGGGATGATGGGAACTGTAGTTCCCAAACATCTGGAAGGCCGAGTTTGGGGATGCCTGCCCTTGGGGATACTCAAATGTTCTCAAGGGGACCACCAGAAACATACTGTAGGGACATCGCGGAGTGGGCAGTGGGGTCCGGAGAGAGCACACTCCCCACCAGCAGGCAGCCACAGTCTGCCTGCACGCGTGACCCTGGGGTGCAGGGCACACACACACACACACACCCCAGACAAGCCACAGCTGTCTGTACATCGTTCCCTCTGTCTGACCTTTTGTGGTCTCAGCAGTTTGCGGTGTCCTGTCTGTAACCTTTGTCCCTGAGACCTTTTGTCTCCTTCGTCATACACTGTGCACGGGGAAAATGACGCGGTGGAAACAGGTGCCAAAATAACTTTGTACTACCCCTCGATCTCAGGACGGAAGATGTGTAAAGGTCATAGCCCAAAATGTATCTGCCTGGTTTGCATATTTGTCTCAATAAAAGGAGGCTGCACAGGGCTAGCCAGCAGCTTGCATGCAGCCCACCTGTGCGCAGCTCACTGATGATCACCCCCAGTCTTGTGCCCTTCCTTCACATACCCTCCCTCCAAGATTTCTCAATAATAATAATAATAATAATTTATTATTGTCACGCCCATCTGGTACTGGGCTTCCCGGCCACTCTAAAAACTCCAGAATATTAAATGCTATAATCCATCAGACATTGCTTCCCGAGCTCAGGGCTGCGCTGGATGTCTTTAAAGCCCTGGTAGTTGTTATTTCTCTTTGACATCTGTGGGAGAGGGGGTGTTCCACAGGAAGAGAACGCCCACTGAGCCACTCTGCCTGGTTCCTGTAACATTCTGGTGAGAACCGCCAGGCCAGTTACTGGACCTCAGTGTCGGGTAGAAA